GTACCCGTCGTTGTTACGACTGTATCGTGCGACTATTCTCTCTCTCTCTCTCTCTCTCTCTCTGTCTGTCCGTCTGTCTGTCCGTCTGTCTGTCTGTCTCTCCCAGAGTATCTGCATAATAACAGTAGATCGCGTTGACCGGACGCGGCGTTTTACGGGCGGGTATACTGCGACGAATAGCGCACGCGACAATATAAAGTGATCGACAAGAGAACGGAGAGCAAACCGTACATAAATAATATACAGGGTGTTTCTTCAGGATTTTGAAAATATTTTTTTTTTTTTTTTAAAGTAATTGCGTAGGAAATTATCAAAGCGCGCGTAGTTACGTCCCGTTTATATGAAAATTAGGAAAGTATTGTTGTAGGCACGCGCGCGATGCGAGCAACAATTATCGTATTGTGTATTTTATGTTTTCATCCGCCACCTGTCCCGACCGGTTCTGTAGAGAAATTTTTTAAAAAAAAAAAAAAAAAAGAAAGATTATTCGGGCGGTTTTTTTTTTTTCAAGTGGGCGTTGGTTAATATTATCGCTGTTGTTTGTTATTTATTGATACAACTTTTTTTTTTTTTTTTGAGAAATTTTGTTTTCAATTTTTATTTCGTCGAATTAAACCGCCATAAGTACGTGGAATTATTTAAACCGCCTTTTTCCATAATGAAATCGAACAAACGTCGGACGCACGTAATACGCTGTGACCGGGGAATTACATGTCCAATAAAAGCCCCCGGTACGCACTACGAAAAGTGTATAATTTCACGCGAACTTTGTACAAACAACGCGGGGTTTATTGAAATGCCGACCCTACCAATAAACACCGGAACACGCTTCGAACGACACTCGAACAAATACCGGAACAACGGATTTCGACGCGGATAATAATGGAAGTTAATTTCCGCGCGTTCCGTCGACGATACGCGTTATGAATAGACGTGGGATTTGCGTAATCGCGAGTATCGTATAAAATGTATCGCGACGGTATAGTTTCAGCGTCCGACCTCGCCCGGTGTACAATTGCACACCGGCGCAATAACGTAACGGAGGGACGGCAAATAAGAACGCGCGCGTAATGCGATATTCTAGTAGTCTGCGCAGTTTTGTACTCCCCCCACCCCCCCGGGACACCGCGCGCTACCCACCGCATTCCGAAAACAGATGCGTTAAACACGATATTTTACTCGGACGACGGATATTGTTCTTAAACAAGTCCGGACGCGCGGCGTAAATTATTAAGGCGGGGAAAAAAAAAAAAGAAAAAAAAGAAAAAAAGAAACCGTTTATTCGTGTGCATATACGTGTACGTGTATATCGTTACTTTACACGGTTCTCGGGGTTTTTCACGGAGAATTATTTGTTGTGTACAGGACGATCCGGACAAACGCCCACGGGCCGAATACGTTCGGCTTAAATCATCGCGTTTTATAGGTAAAAACTCAACGCTCCGGTAGTGTACACGGGCGTATGTGACGTGCGTGTATTCCGATTTCCGAAATACCTGTACGAGCGCTAAGCGTACGGCCATAATTTCTGTCGGACCCGCGCGACTGGAAGTTATTTACGATTTCAACGCCCGCGGAGACGGACACACGGTGGCGTCTTAATGATTTCTTTCTCCGGAGGGGATGCGCGGGATTGAAGACCAAAAAAAAAAAACCGTTCTTCCCGTTTCGGTGTCCGCGTTTCTTCAACGCGCGCGGTTATTCGTCCAAAGGTTCCGCTGTCGCGTTGGAAAAAGCAAAGTGTTTTCCAATTCACATTGTTATTGGACGTCATGTCCAATACACTCGCCACTAATTAAAAATGCATTCGGTAACCCCCCCCCGCATTTCCCCAGATTCTTTCCCGTGTTGCCTCATCACTTTCCTCTACCTCCCCCCCTTTATATTTTAACGCTTTTCTGATCATCAAAAATACAGTTCATCACTTGATTGCAAAGTTCTTGGATGACTCGTAGTTTTTACCTTATGTTGTTTGTTTTTTTTAACGAAAATCTCTAGAGCTACTATCGATTTAATGTAATACCAACCACAGGTCGCCCGACGACAAAATATTAAAAACATTGGCCGCGATAAAAATAAACCGTCAGCGCTTTGGGCGGAAAAAAACGCTCCGACTCAGTGTCGCCATACCTAAAACGAGAAAAATTCGTCCAAATTTCTCATCAGCACAGATATCGAACCTCGCGTTTTAAGACCGTATCCAAATATGCGACTTTATTGACGGACGATTGAGTCGCGTGAAGCGTTTTCTGGTATTTTAACAGTTGTCGTTTCGAGTGTTATTCCACGAAGCGTTATATTATAGTCACTACGGAAAAATCACTCTTACCATAGGTCGCGTCGTATTACGGCCCGCGTAATATCTTAAATCGTTAAATCGCCTATCCGATATTTCGATATTTAAAAAAAAAAAAAAAAAAAGGAGTTTTCTGGCGACGATAATAAACGGGAGAAAACGGTCGGTCGTTATCGGTTTCGAATATCGTCGAGATTTTCGCTCGCGTGCAAAACGGACGCGCGCTCGAGACACGATATTTTCCGATAACTTTTCCCCGCGCAGACCGTCGGCACGGTCTGCTTTGCCGTGAACCGCCGCGCGCGCGTAGTGGCAATTCTTCGGCGGTCGGTTCGCGGACGGTCGTCTTCGGGACGAGGTCAGCAACGAGGTTATAAACGCTGTCCTCCGCCGTCCTCACGCGGCGGCGGCGCGGCCGGTGACGCACGCCGCCCGGACAGCGGGATAACCGGGACGCGGGCGCGGACCCCGAGAGGCTCTATGGATGCCGCGGTACGCACGGGTACAGGGAATGTATAGCGAGTCGTGTGCGCGTGTATATTACGCGTATACGAGTATAACGGGTGCGAAAGTGCCGGGGGACGAAGAGCAACAGCGTTAGAGCCCGCTGCCGGCGGGGTAAGGATGTGTAGAGTACGAGGACGGGCGCTAGTTTGATTTGTGTATCTCTTTGGATTATTTATGAGTTGGCCCGAACAACGGGTTTCGCCGCCAATTTATAATATTATCAAAGCGCGTTATGCGGCGGCGGCGGCGGCGGTCTTTCTCTCCCCCCGCTCGCCCGCTCCGTCACTCTCGCCAAACTTCATCGACGAACTTTTCGTCGCGTACGTGAGACCTCGTCGCCGCGCCTCGGAATTTCCCCCTTCGATATTATTTATATACCACATCGTATTGTAATGTTATAATACGTACGCGCGCATTATCGTATCCGTTTCCCGTCCGGGCGATCGCGCCGAGGGTCTTGGATACGCGCGCGTGGCGACGAGGGATAACGCGAAAATAGATAATCGCGCCGTGCCCGCCGCCGCCGCCGCGGAAATTTTAACAGATTCCGACTATTTTCGCTCGGCCGTAACGGCACTCGCCCGCGTCATATCGCGGGGCAGTGGGTATTTGTACGCTTTCGCCCGTTCGTATTGTTCGGCCGTTAAAACACACAGCCGGTTTACACCGGAACGCCGTTTCGGGACCCGACGGTCCGCCGACCGTCGTTCGGTTCTGCGCGTCCGAGCGTTTTCGTATTTTCGGCGCATTTGTCTACGGGTTGTATCGTGTCGTCGCGTGCCGTACGGGTATTGCCGGTGGCCGCTGTTTACTCGAACTTGACGGTTACGCCCTCACTAGTGTCGTCCGCAGGCGTATCGCGCTCGAATAACACGGGCCATTCCGCCCGTGAAAACATAACGTTACGTTTGTTTAGAAAATTCCCGGGAAAATCGAAAAGAAAATATCTCGACGACGCGGCGACTAGATTGAACAGTATGCTACGAGAAAGTGCTTGTACGTTTTTTTTTGATTGGAGCGATATTCTCGGTAGAAAAGCGGTTTTCAGGCAGGCGCACTAAAAAGAAACGCGTCGTTGTAAAACCGATACGTCCCCTCGCTTCTTTCAGAATACCCATGGAACGGTACGAGGTACCTTATACTTGTATCCTACGCAGTCTCGAGTCTGCACACTGCAGCTGATTACGTTAAGTCGTATAACAGTAATGATAATAATATCATTAAAGAGTGTGCGCGCGTGGCTGTGCGTAGTCGTTCTTCCCCGCAGTTCGCTGTAATTTCGTGTACGTGTCTCTTTATAATATTCCGTGTCAAAACTTGGTCGCAGGTAGGTATAGCTGATAATGTAATTAATTGGAAGGTGTCCAGAATAATTTCCACCGTTCTCCACCGAACGACATACCATACAGTGATACCGTACACAAATACGTATGATAATTCGCCCGGATCGTGGCTACGCGTAGCTATACGTATAATGATAATGCGATACATAAGAAATAACACGCGTACAGTGCTTATGTATATTAATATTATATCCGACTTGGCTAGGTACCCGTACGGTTTTACAAGCTCGACTTCGGCTCTCTCGTATTGAACAAATTCGGCCCGTTCGGTCGGCTTGTATTGTGCGCATAACAAAGTTTTGATAATTTATGGCGTTATAAAATCGTTATTTTTTTTTTTTTTTCATTTTGAATTTTATTCAAGAAAAGTAAGCGTTACAGTACTTAACGATCTTTGTATATTTTTTCCTATATACACATTATGCGGCGGTCGGGATATTAATTACGCGCTTTTTTTTTTTTTTTCACCATTTTAAGTCACAATTTATGGCGTTCGAGGGGCTATAAAAATGTTATCACCCTAATGCAGCTTTCATTGAAAAATACATTCATCACAATTTCACCATGTACAATATATATTACGGGCCATATTTTAATAATTTAACAAGTACGTATATAGAGGTGTTTCGTATTTTATAAACTATATAACGTGTGCATAAAACATTCCCGAAACGTTATTTTCTGGCGAATCTGCCATTAAAAACCTGTCCGGCGAACGCGTGTTTTGACGTTTTTCGCATATCGAAATTAATTTGGAACGCTATTGACAACAAATTCACCGAAAAAATACGAACCCGAAAGAAACGAGGAGGAGAAAACGTAATATATTTTACGAACGGAGGACTTATGTGGGGATGAGGGCGGTGTTTAATGAGCCGGATATAGCCGAAGGAGTTTTCAAAAGTCGAAGGATAAGCCGGGTCGGACACGTTCGATGGAAACCAGACAAGAAACGGCCAAGACAACAGGCAGGGAAGATCTCAATAAGCTCTTCTAGCCTTATAGGGACAGGGACGCAAAGAGGGACAATGGACCGACAAAGCTTGAGTCAAGAAAATAAAAGGGCTAATACTGCTGATGGCTGGTTTAAAAAAAAAGTTGGAAGGGAAGCTATAAAGAATAATTCAGTTTATATTGGTACGCATCAATAAACCATTACTAACGAAAAACCATTCTGAGTCTATTGTCCTCGGAAATCATTACAAATTCTACAAACGACTTTCAGTTTTTTCCATTTATCATAAGAAAACGATAAAGAAATTTAAAAAAATTTCTTCCGCAATATACCAACTAAATCGAAAATTCTACGAGAAAGTTTCTATAACGTTTTTGATCGGAGCGAAATTTCTGATAGAAAAAAAAACACAAGAAAGTAAAACTTGTTAGGCTCAGAATCTAAACGCTGTTAATCGCCAACTCGCTCGACCGGGAAGTATATTCGGGTATTAAATCAAGAGACGCAAAAAAAAAAAAAAAAAAAAAAAAAAATTTAATATCACGTTCAATTAGATATCGAACTTTTGAAGTTTTCCCATGGCGTCAAACAGTTAAGTCATAATAAATATCTGTCGTTTTCGTTTTTCAAAATTTAGATACACCTGCGTCCGATGATCCGCGGCAATCGCGCGTACGTTCCGTAGCGTGGCGTGGAATCGGGAATAGTCATGCACGACAGTCGGGTGAACGCGATTGGACAACGGGTCGACGCGAAAGTCGCCACGGTATTATTATCAATGACGGTAAAACAAAAAAAAAAAAAATAAATAAATAAACATATATAATAACGAAGAGAAAAAAAAAAAAAGTCGTGATGTTTTGTGCCGGATTCGCGGTCGCCCGTCGACTCGTGGAGTCGGCGGCTTTTAGGTGAACGGTAATTCTAGTGTTCGGGCCGTTCAGCGTGTTCCCGCCGGTAACGCGATAAAACTCCGTGATAATCCGAAAATTTCTCACGTTCCCCGACGGACGATTGCGGGACCGGCTCGGCGTTGCGGTACCGGGTCCGGCGTACAACCGACCCGACACGCCGGAGAACTCGCCGCCGAGCGCGAACGTATTCATGTTCGGTTGCCGTTTGGCGGCGCGAGAAACGGTAAACACTCCCGCCCCGTTCGGCTCCGGATGTCGAATTTCGTACGGGTTTTCCGCCCGCGCACTATTGCCACGACCGATTACAGATCGCGGTGGCGTGTCACGTTTTCGCCGTGCCGCGTCCGACGGTCGCCCGTCGTTATCGGCAATACCGCGCGCGCAGTCGGCCGATCGGAAGCGGCGAGACGCCGGGGCGGTCGGCGGTGTGTGCGGAAATGTCCGGGGCCGGGTCGCGCGCATCGAAAAAACTGCCGTCGCGCCCGTCCGTTTCGTCGCGGTTGAACGTTCGCAGTTCACCGCGGTGCAAATCAACCGAACGCACATGTTTCGCAGCGATCGATTTCCCGGCATCGAAAACTGAAACCGTTGCGCGTGGGTTCCCCGCGGAATCGATTCGATTCGATTGCCGGCGCGGCCCCCCGATCGGATCGGCCCGTATAATTATCGCCGTCGATCCGTTTTTTGTGTTTGTAATTATTTCTGTACGCACGACGCCGCCGTTAAATTCGATATGAAATATGCAATGAGATGATGACGGAATATAATATATATATATATATATATAAGAAGAAGAAGAAGAAGAAAAAAAAAAAAAAAAAAAA